TATATATATATATATGTATATTACACCACTTCTTCTATTAGATCTTAAGTGATTGTGTCACAAAGCAGCGTACATGAATACGTGTTGTTCAGACACGCACTGCTATTTGGACATCAGAACAGGGAAAAGTGTTGAGATGACACATGCATCATCTCATGGGAAAGGCTCACTACTTTTCCCAGTAACTGTAAAAAGATCCCCTCTCTGAATATGAAGTGGGGTCACGGTGTTACATCAGACAAGTTGTCAGCTTTTTGTTTATTCAATGAATCCCCAATCCCCAATGTGCCACAAATACACTCACACAAACACATCTCTTATGACAACCACTATGTACAGATCTCTGGTACAACACACAGGAAGATAAGGTTTGGCGACTGAAAGCCTGGCCATGCTTTGCTTCACTAGAATGGCTTTTGAACAAAGTCTAGCTTGTTATAGAAGTGGCAGATGAGTGATGGGGGGGGGGAAACATTTTTTCTGATAAGATAAGGTCCTGGACCTGGATAAGAGTTTGGCTTCCTAAATAGAGGAGATGTACTCTGTTGCTGTCAGACAGTGATAAGGCATCATGAACAGCTTCCAGCGCCTCAGACACGAAGGTCTGGGCACCAGAAGTGAGTTGTTCCCAAATGATGCGGTCCCTGAAAGGTTTAAAGAGGGTGTAACTGCAAAAATTACATTTTCTGAAACACAAAAAAAGGTAGATAATTGCTTTTTTTATTGCTTTTTTTTGTACTTTTCATAATGTGGACTAAAAAAGTGTAGATACAAAAAAAAATAAAAAATAAATTCCCCCCCAAAAAAACACCTCTAAAAAAATGGTTGGTCAACTGAGGCATGGTTTGTATTTTGAGCCAGCTGGAATAAAATAACCAAGGATATTTTCAGTATTTTAAAAGCTCTGCACAAAATCAGCTTGAATACAGATGTAGCTGTTTTTGCTCAGTTGTTTCATATTGTATGAGACATTTCATAATTATCTTTAAAAAGCGAGACATCTATGTGCATGTGTATGAAAGCAATAAAATGCTTTTGCAAAGCAATATGCAGTTTTTTAGGATATACATGCAAAAGCATTAAATATTATACCAAATGTCAAACCAAGCACCCATGCTTTATCTCAATTACATTTAACAAGAGACTCAGTTACATTTGTGTGCACTCATTCCTGTTACAAATACTTAATGGCCATTAAAATATTTTTATAATCCCATTTTAAATTTTTTTTCCTGCCAGTTGAACTTTAATGTACCGGTATACCTTTGTTTCCCTTTTTGCATCTCTAACGGAAAGGAGCTTTATTAGATTTTAATATCAATAACTTGGATATTTTATTTATTGGGCCACTGCTAAGCACAGCATACAGCCATACATTTGAAGAACAGTTTATGTGAAAATCCGTCTTTGTTGCCTTCTTTTGAGCTCTTACGCTCAAATTATACTGAGACCCAATAGTATTTGTCTACAAAGAAATCAACAGACATTATTCTTTAAACATTTTTGTATCATTTAGCTTTTGAAACATAGACACAGTTTGCCACCATATGTGTTAAAGTCCAAAGGGAAACAATGTCATCATGAAAATTAATGACTTGCTCTCAAAAAATATTTATGCATGCTAATTTTCAAATGCATTAATTGCATAAATAAAAGATTCTTCAGGGGTTTGGAAAGCTATTCTGCTGTGCAGAAAAATGGTAAGCGTACCTGTTCCCAGCATTAGGGATCTTATTTGAACAGGGGTATTTACTTTGGGAAAGGGTGCTATAAATGAACACAGAGGAAGTGCTGCACAAAAGGCAGTTCAGACTGGCTTAGAGGAAACTGAGACCTGCGTGTGAATCGGGAATTCTCAGTGGTTACTTCTGCAGTACCAGGAAAAAAAAAAGAAAACATAATTTGTATAGAACAGAAAACGTCTTTATTAATTTAGCATATTTTGATCAGTGAACTTCACAGGCCAAGTTATATTTTTGTGACTTTTAAGAAGTTCTTAGTTACTTTAGCTTCGACTTTAATGTTTATCTTTCTGGTAAATGTGGCAGTGGCACATTTTGTGCCATTCCCTATAGGGGAACTCCAAATGAGGTTGTTTTGTTCCATATAGGAGACATTAAAAAAAAGGAGGGAGGGGGGTAGGGACAGAACTCCCAGAGAGGGACAGGCCTTAAGATGGAGGTCTTCCTCCCAGGACGTGACAGGCTGTTGGCTGGAGGATGCTCAGGAAGGCCTTGGCAGACCAACAAAGACAGCCCTTCAGCTGCAGGGTGTAGTTTTTCAGGCCCCAGCATCCCCTTTGGCAGCGGCACAGAGAGTGCTGGCGTGCACAGGCCCCCGGCCCGAGAGACAGGGAAGTAAGGCCCGTTCTTTTATTTACTCAGGCTGCTGCTGAGGCCTGGGCATTTCTTGTCTGGGTGAAGAAGGAAAAAAAAACAAGTCTCTCTCTCTTTTTCCTCTTGAGGTCTCCTGAGGAAGATTGCTCTTTCATCTGCAGTTGTTCACACACTTGCTTCGGCCATTGGACTTGTATCTGTGTATTCTATGTGTACATGCTATGTGTGCACATGTATATTCTTGTCAGTGTATGCACACAAGTGTGCTCTTGCTCTGTGTGCGCGTGTGTTTGGTGTGAGGTTGGGTGGGGGTGAGCGGTACACAGTAAAACTCCTGCAGTTCTATAGTTTTATCTATCGACTCACCAGAAAAAATAGGTGAAGAAGCACAAAAGGAGAACCTTTGTCTACTGGTTACAGCATGGCTATAACGTATTTGTTGGCCAGTGTGACTATACCCTATGCAGTCCAACGTGAAATCAAATGATGCATTATTACTAACTGTGTTATATTTGCTATCCAGACACAAATTTTAACATAGCTACTTATTCAAAACCCTTCATTGCAACTTCCATATATATGAATCAGATATTACTCTATATATGTCATCACCGTAAGGCCCTAAATAAATAATATACACTGAGCAAACAAACAACGAGAATGGAATGAGATTGTCCTGACAGCTTAGTAATGTCTCAAGGCATCAAGACATCCTCATTTAAGACAGCAGAATTTCATTTAGCCTTGTATACAGAACCATTTATTTGTTTGTTTTATACTATTGTCTCGAAGCCAATACGTTTGACTGTAAGGCATTGGCTGGGGTCATTCTTCTTGCACTGTCTTCTTCTCCTATACCCGGAGAGGCAGTATGAGATAGGGCAGATCCGCCCCCTCTGTGGAGGAGGGCATAGCACTGAGTCACCCATCCTCCCTCAAACCAGAGAGAGAGAGAGAGAAAACATTGAGACATGTATGAAAGATAAAGCAAGTAAATCAGGCAAGGTTTGCTCCTTCAGTGAGATGTGTGTACAGAGTGGGCGCCTTGCCAGGGGTGGGAGGTTTCCGGGAGGGCCACGGTGTGGAGGTGGGCTCTCAATGTGCCGCTTTCAGCAGTTTGGAGGGGCAAGGGAATGGCCTCCGACCCCATCTGTTTCCTGAAGATAGGCCCTGATGGGGGTAAGTGCTCAGAGAGGGCATGATATCCTGACAAAGGGCAGATCTCCCAGCAAAAACAACAGAAAGGGGGAGAGAGAGAGAAAGACTTAGATTTGTCAGCTGAAGGAGAGTACAGAGGTTGGATCCTGGAAAGAGCTCGTGCTTTTCCTCCGTCCCTCTCATAAATCTTTGCAGCTTCCTCTTGTTTTTCCCATTCCAAGTTATGGCCTTTTGACATTTTTTTTTCTGAAGAGGTTGGGATTATGTTGTTTTATTTAGGTAAGGAAGTTCACATCACTTAGATTTCAGCAGCGGGAAGAAGTGGCCTGTAACCTTTTGAACCTGTGGAAAGTGGTGCTCTGTTTTCCATGCATATAACCGCACAGTGAACCAGTGGATTGGAATGTTGGAGCCATTTGAATAGGAACACATTAAAGTGATTGTAAAAAAAAGTTGGTCATTCTCTGCACCTGCTTGTCCTTGACCGAGACAGTAAGCCACCACTAGCCACCTACCCCCTACCCCTCCTTGCATCAGAACATGGATGGCACGTTCATCCATCCACGATCACTTGCCTCACAGCTTAACGCAGACTGCACAGACAAATTTTGTAATAATGCATATTCTATAATCTGATATCTATTGACGGATGTTCTGATGGGTCTATGTTTCATGAAAATCATCCGTTTTGCAGCAGAGCGTTCCCAAAGGCTATGCATAGCTGTGGTTTAAATTGCATATTTAATCTTCTCCTTCATCCTTAAAACTGCTTTTGCCTGTTTTTCTCTTGTCTTAAGGTCATTTCAAGGGCTCTTGTTATTCAAAAATATTCAAGTAATTCTTCAGGAATAATAGAAATGTTCTAATTTACCTCATGCAGGGCTTACATCCTAGAGTAGACCCATTGTCTTGTGTTGGCTTTAAATGTCAGAGAGATTGTGTTTTGAGTCACAGTGGGCTAAGCCATTACATGGCCACATACAAGGTTAATTGTAGTAAAAGTATTTCCACTTATTCTCTTCTCTAATTATACTTTAAATTGCATATTTAATGTAACTTTTTAGATAACACCTAAGGAGAGGTATTGTTTCAGCTGAAGAAAAAATGGTCTACATTGCAAAGAATTTGAAAATCATACACCACAACCTTATAATTACTATGACAAATAACGCCACGGTGGCCTACCTTTTCAAGACTAATGACTTGCTAATATAGTGACTAGCTTACAAAACACCTTTCTAACTCACTCACTTTCTCCATTTTTCCTCCTCCATCTTTTTCCCTCTGACCTGCCCTCAATGCCTTCATTTCTACATTTCTTTCTGTCTTCTTCTCCAGACGGTGCTGATCTTGAGGATGACCCATCGTGTTCTTGGCCAGCATCATCTCCCTCTAGTAAGGATCAGACTTCTCCAGGACACTGTGAGGACTATGATTTTGGCGAGGAAGAAGGAGGCCCTGGCCTACCGTACCCATGCCAGTTCTGCGACAAGTCTTTCAGTCGTTTGAGTTTCCTCAAGCGTCACGAGCAGAGCCACGGTGATAAGCTGCCTTTCAGCTGTACCTTTTGCAGCCGCCTGTTTAAACACAAGCGGAGCCGAGATCGACACGTGAAGCTACACACGGGTGATAAGAAGTATCACTGCGGAGAGTGTGACTCTGCCTTCTCCCGCAGCGATCACCTCAAAATCCACATGAAAACCCACGCCTCCAACAAACCCCACAAGTGCCCTGTGTGCCGTCGAGGCTTCCTTTCCTCCAGCTCTCTCCACGGCCACATGCAAGTACACGAAAGGGGCAAAGATGGCACGGGCTCCGGTTTCTCTAGGGCTGATGAATGGAAGCTGAAAGAAACCCGCAAATGCAGCCGGTGTGAGGAAGGCTTCGATGTTCCAGAAGAGCTCCAAAGGCATATCGCAGAATGCCACCCTGAGTGCTCCCCATCAGAGGATGGAGGACTGGGTGCCACCCTGCAGTGCATCTACTGCCACGAGCCCTTCAGCGATGAGGGCACCCTGCTGACCCACATTGACCAAGCCCACAGCAGAGATAGGAAGGGCCACACCTGTGCTATCTGCTCAGAGCATTTTCTGTCTGTTGAGGACCTCTATGCTCATATGGACATCCACCAGCTCCCTGAATCTAGTAACCATAGTAACAGCCCTTCCTTGCTGACTGTAGGCTACACCTCTGTGTCTAGCACAACTCCGGACTCCAACCTCTCTGTTGACAGCTCCACAATGGTGGAGACAGCGCCACCTGTGCCCAAGACCAGGGGAAGGAGAAAGAGGGCTGCACAGAACACTTCAGACATGGGAGGACGTTCCTCTAAGCAGCCTAAAGTCTCTTACAGTTGCATCTACTGCAACAAGCAAGTGTTCTCCAGTTTGGCTGTGCTTCAAATTCACCTGCGAACCATGCATCTGGACAAGCCAGAGCAGGCTCACACTTGCCAGTTTTGTTTGGAAGTTCTGCCCTCTTTACTAAATCTGAATGAACATCTTAAGCAGGTCCACAATGCAGAAGATCACGCTGCCCTGTTAGCGAGCTTGCCTGATGCCCTCCTTCAGTGTAATTTCTGCCCCGAGGTGTTAAATGACCTAAATGCCCTCCAGGAACACATCCGCTGCTCTCATGGCTTTCCCAGTCCAGTGGCCAAGGAGAGCAATGCCTTTTTCTGCCCCCAGTGCTTCATGGGGTTCTTGACAGAGGCTACCTTGGAGGAGCATGTTCGCCAGACTCACTGTGATGGGGGGAGCCTACGCTTTGACTCCCCCTTGGCTGTAACTCCCAAGGAGCCAATAGTCGAAGTGTACTCCTGTTCATACTGCACCAACTCCCCCATATTCAACAGTGTTCTAAAGCTTAACAAGCACATCAAGGAGAATCACAAGAACATTCCACTAGCCCTGAACTACATCAACAATGGGAAGAAATCCCTCCGCACTCTCAGCCCCTCTTCGCCAATATCTGTGGAACAAACTGCCGTGCTGAAACAAGGTAGCTCAGCCTCCCGTGCCACCAGTGAGTTCATATGTAACCAGTGTGGTGCCAAGTATACAAGCTTAGACCTTTTCCAGACTCACCTCAAAACGCATCTGGATGGTCTGCAGCCTCAGCTTACCTGTCCGCAGTGCAACAAGGAGTTTCCCAACCAGGAATCTCTGCTAAAGCATGTGACAATTCACTTCACTATTACGTCGACTTATTACATCTGCGAGAGCTGTGACAAGCAGTTCACTTCAGTGGATGACCTGCAGAAGCACCTACTCGACATGCATACTTTTGTGTTCTTTCGTTGCACTCTGTGCCAAGAGGTGTTCGACTCAAAAGTGTCTACTCAGCTCCACCTGGCTGTGAAGCACAGCAACGAGAAGAAAGTGTACCGCTGCACCTCCTGTAACTGGGACTTCAGGCATGAGACTGACTTGCAGCTTCACGTCAAACACAGCCACCTGGAAAACCAAGGCCGTGCCCACCGCTGCATTTTTTGCGGGGAGTCCTTTGGAACGGAAGTGGAGCTGCAGTGCCACATCACCACCCATAGCAAGAAGTATAACTGCCGCTTCTGCAGCAAGGCTTTCCATGCCATTGTTCTTTTGGAGAAACATTTGAGGGAGAAACACTGTGTGTTTGAGGGAAAGTCACAGAACTGTGGCGCCAATGGTTCTACTGTAGTTGGTGGGGAAAGCCAGCCTAAAGAAGATGCTGAGCTACAAGGTCTCCTAACTAACAGCCATGGTTCAGGGGCAGTAGGTGGATCTGTGATGGAGTCCCAGAACAGCCATGATGGAAGTGAGGAAGAGGTGGACACTGCAGAGCCCATGTATGGATGCGACATATGTGGGGCATCTTATACTATGGAGTCACTGCTCACTAACCACCAGTTGAGAGATCACAATATACGCCCTGGTGAGAGTGCCATGATAAAAAGAAAGGCTGAGATGATCAAGGGTAACCACAAGTGCAATGTTTGCTCCCGTACCTTCTTCTCTGAGGCTGGGCTGAGGGAACATATGCAGACCCACCTTGGGCCTGTCAAACACTACATGTGTCCCATCTGCGGGGAGCGCTTCCCCTCATTGCTCACCCTGACAGAGCACAAGGTCACCCATAGCAAGAGTTTGGACACGGGGAGCTGCCGCATTTGTAAGATGCCACTGCATAGTGAGGAGGACTTCCTGGAGCACTGCCAGATGCACCCTGACCTGAGGAACTCCCTTACAGGTTTCCGCTGTGTTGTTTGCATGCAGACGGTCACCTCCACATTGGAGCTCAAGATCCATGGTACTTTCCACATGCAAAAGACAGGCACTATGTCCGCAAACCAACCCATGGGCCGCACCAATGCCATGTCTCAAAACCAGCAGCAACACCACGCCCCAAAATTTTTCAAGTGTGCCTCCTGCCTAAAAGATTTCCGGTCCAAACTAGACCTGGTAAAGCTGGACATCAACGGACTGCCTTATGGACTCTGCGCGTCCTGTGTGGCGGCTGCCGGCTCCAAGAGCTCCAGCCCAACAGTGAATGGAGGGAGGCAACAGCAGCAGCAGGGGGGAGCCACCACTCCAGCAACAACTACAGCCACATGGGTCCAAGGGGAGAGTCTCAGCCCTGGAGATGGAAAAGGCAAAGGTGTTTCTTCATCGTCCTCATCCTCTTCCACGTCGTCCTCGTCTGCAGCCAAGACACGATGTTCCAGCTGCAATGTGAAGTTTGAATCTGAGGCAGAGTTGCAAAACCATGTCCAGACAGTGCATCGGGAACAGTCTGGGGACAGCAACAGTGGACAGCTGAAGACCCCCCAGGTGTCTCCCATGCCAAGAGCCAGTCCATCGCAAACTGAAGAGGTATTGCTAAGTAGCCTCGCACTAAATAAGTAAATGAAAACATGCAGAGAATTTACAATTTACAAATGACACAAATATTTCTACCATATATCTTTTATTCACACTTGACTGTAATCCCTGTTGTCTGATTTACAGAAGAAGACATACCAGTGCATCAAATGTCAGATGGTGTTCTACAGTGAATGGGACATCCAAGTTCATGTGGCCAACCACATGCTGGGTAGGAGATAGCACTTTCTGATTCATTTATTATGGTTTCTGTTATACTCCAGAAACAAGAGTCATTAAATACAGTGCTTGTGTAATATATACAAATATGTTTGTCCAAATTTCCCAAGTGTTTCTAAAATCTAGCGTAAATTTAATCAACATATCTTTTAGGCATGCAATTTAAGTGTTAAAATCTCACCCGCGCAGTGTGCAAATTATTAAGAAAAATTCACCCAATTTCAGTGTTTTCCTACCTTTTTAAAGATGAATCACATACTAAAAATAAATGTGATATGTAATAAAATATTTGACCCTGTCTCATTCAGGCTCACAAGTATCTGGATCACATCACCAAATAGGTGGAATTATTTTTTTATTTGACCATCAACTGCATCCCCAGTGTTGTGCTTTCATAAACCCACAAGCTTCATTTCTCCATGCATGTGAATGGTATAATATGGTCCGTGTGCATGCTTCAAGCTGAATTTCTCCACTTCAAACCACTCTGTAATTAAGGTAGTTTGAAGTAGTGGAAAATAAAATACACAGATTATTCAAATATTGAAATATCAAACAGATTTGATCATTCTGATCATCCCAAAGATTATCAATCAATTTTCTGAAAAAAAAAAAAAGGTAAAAATTTCTCTAGTTCTTCTATATGTATTTTTGGTTTGTTTGTCTGTTGTACTTTGTCACACAAGTACTGTTTTCAGATGACTGAGATCTGCATACTAGATTTTATACTTTCATGCTCTCTCCTTTTATGACGTCAAATCAACTGAAAAAATGGATATTTGCCATTTCGGTGTTTAATATCAAAAGAAATATTCCAAATTTTGCATTTCATTTCGCAAGATTTCTCAGCTAAGAGTGCTGGTGTACGACTAAGCTCCACATTTTCAAAATGTCTCTACTTTTGGTTGTCATTTGTATGCAGGCAGAATAATTTATAGGGAACAGACAATTGGAAAACAGGTTTTCTTGCCTGCAGTAAGTAGGCGTCTGAATTCCGGTCTCACGTTCCTTTATTCATTCATTTATTCAGCTCGTTTGGCGGCTCTTTCATTACACTGCATTATCTGTTGTCTTCAGTGGGAGAGAGACTCATTGATCTGGAACCAAACCGCCTCTCTGTTTGGGACACGCTTCTAGGCGCAGGTGAATTTAAACACGGTGGGCAATTCTATCAGGACCGGTAGGCAATTCTATCAGGGACCCACTGTTTGTGCATAAACAATCAGAAGCATGTGATTTGTGATTTTGATGCTGCGGTGTATTTGCAAAAGAGAGAGATGAGCTGAGAGTGTGTAGGTGTGTATTTTGTATTCATCTTTGCGATCTGCTCACCCACTAGTCTACTGGGGGTGCCTAATACAGTACCATGCCAGCATTAGTCCTTTCTCTCGCAAAGGCAGGCACGGAGCACACTGGGAGGGTAGAAAACAAACCCCCCTACTGGTTATTTTATGTTTTTCAGCCGCACAAGCACACAGTTTCCCCGTAATAGTGGAATTCAGACAGCTTAAGATAACAGGAGGATAGGTGATTGGGTTATTGTCTGATGTCTTACTTCTCTGATATGCCATCGCTTTGTATTCAACATGATCACGGGTTTCATCTGACTTCTCAAAAGGGTTTCTGTTAGATACGTTTGCTTTGTGATCTCTAAAATAAGGAGAAAACAAAACTCATTGTAATGTGAAGTTGTCAAACAAACAAGAGGAAAACAGAGCAGAATGAAGTAAAGTTAAGGAAATGTGTTTAATGGACAAGGCGTGAGGTACGACATGTGAGCCGTGTTTCAAGCGCTGATCTTGTTCTTTTACGTACCCTCTGAAAAATTGCTCTGTTTAATTTGGAGCATGGTTAAATTCAACCCACACTTTAATCACTGAAGAGCCAATTTGGGCCAAAAACAACCCCCCAAAAAATGCACATTTGGAAAAGCTCTAAATATCTTTTCGACAGAAAAAAAAGGGACACTTTCTCCTTTTAATGACCATCTGCACAGGAGAGGGGAAACAGGGGGCTGGGGTCATCTCCGCTCAGCTGTCAGCGTTATTAGCGTAGGTAATGGAGCAGACGCTGGATTCATAGGGGTGTTGTTTTCATCCATGCCCCGCTCCATGGTGTCAGTTCACACTGATAACTCTATATATAGTGATGTGCCGTGACATAACCATAGTGCTAAGTGTATGGAACAACAAAACCTGAGCCCGTCTCACCCAGACGAGTCCACATTAGCTGCCTTTGTAATACAATAGTCTCCCTCAAACCCGGCGCAATGAGCCTCCACCCCTTACCTCCTCCCATCAGGCCGAAGTGGTCGCGGCTGCCTCTTCTGTCCGACTGCCAGCACATTTTGATGCATGGATATTACACTCAGATGATGACGCTCCTGGTTCAGACATAAAGGGCAGTTCTGGTGCTCAGCTACTCAACATTTACTATGATAATGGAGGTAAATGAAAGGGACGGAGGTAGCCGTGGGTGCAGAAGGGTGTGTTGCGGACCAGCCCCAGCCAAGCCTGTGAACGGCCCCACGTGTCTTAAGATGGAGGCTGCAGCCTGCTAGGGCCCAGATGGATCAGTACACATTTGCTGTACAGCTGGTCGCTCTGTTTGGGGACCTGGTGTGATACTCCTATGGAGAAAAAAATGATATCGCCACCATCCAAGGAGCAATTTAATAGCAGGCCAGAAGACAGCTGGCCACTCTTTAGTTTAGAGTTTTTTTGGCATGGCACACTTACAGAATTGAGGGTGTCCGATTTTTCTCCAGAGACACACAGATTTATACAGCTTTCAGCTGTCGCAGTCACTATCAATTCTTTAATTTTCTGTTTTTCTTTGAGATTAGAAGAAAGGCCTCTTCGTGAATAAAAATTTCTCATTTTGAGATGTAATAACTGCATTGCAAAAAAAAAAAATGTAAATAGTAGTCCCCGTTCATTTTTTTTCTTTTCTTTTTTTTTTTAAGAGGACCTTTGAAGGTCCTTCACTGACACAAAAGCCTGTTTGGTTTTATCAGCATGCCATCATGCCACCCCATTGCTTCACTTTGACCCCAGTGTAAACTATGACATTTGGAGCCTCATGGGGGGCACGTTTGGCCCATTTATCGCACTGTTTCAAATGTCCCTGTGTGGATTTTTAGAGCCCTGACATGTTTTGAAGCATGGGCTCTGTCTTAAAGGGTTCTGAAGGTGAAAGAGGGTTTAGCTTTTTTTGTGATATCTGCTTTCAATCTCATTCTCATCTCACTTCTGTCCTTTCCAAGTAGCTACTGCCAAGGTGGCAGTACTGAGAAGGACAACTGTAAACAAACAAACCAAACCACATCCCCCCCCCAAAAAAAGTGTTTTTTGGGGTCACCTCTACAGATTTTTTGGGTTGGTGACAGCACAGAGCTTGAAGCCAAGTCAGGGAGGAGGCTTCTCTCTCAGAGTGGAGCCAGTGGCCTGGTCGGCCCAGGCAAAGGGGGGCACTGGAGGGGTGGAAAGGTTCGGGGGCGGAGAGGGAAAGGCACATTTGCTGTACAGCTGGCCGCTCTGTGTGAAGCAGGCACTGTGGGCCGTTACAGAGCTGGAGAGGAGAGCGAGTGAGAGGCCTTTAGCTCTCCTCTAGTTTCTCCTCCTCCGCTCTGTTCTCTCGTTCTCATTCCCCCTGTCCACTATCTCTCAATTTTCCTCTGTCTCAGTATCTAGCGTTTGCATTTTCATATTAACTGAGCTCCATCCTGGCAAAACACACTGTGTTGGCTGTTATTGGAAGAACCGACAGGAGGCACACTGTAACAGTATTTGAAGCTGAAAGCCTTGTTTTGTTTCTTGCTAAGGGCCGCAAATTATCCTTGACACATATCCTCTTGTCTTGGGCCCCTAGAGCAGCTTGGCCAGTGTATGTTGATTATATGGTCTCCATCACTGTCTCTGCCCTGGTGGAAATACATTTACTACCCCATTAAGTGCTTTTTTTCCCTCTTGATACATAAGCAGAATGTGGTATTTTCATTCTTTGTTTCTTTTCCTATAATCCTCTTTGATTAGGTGCGTCTGATGGTGTTCCCTCCGTTTCTAGAGCTCATTCATAGAGCACATACACATGTAATCTGTTAACAAACATGACCAAACACTCCTCATTTGACTCCTAGGGGGCTAAATCAGAGTCAGAACTCAATAAACAACACAGCAGAGGAACAGGATCAATCTTATGAAATAAATAAGAGAACAGGTTTGGACCAGCCATTGGAAACAAAGGAAACCATGCATGCCTTATGCTGAGCGTGATATCTGCCTGCTTTTATTAATTGGTGATTAATAACGCCTCTCTGTTCGTTAGCATAGTCACCTCCCGTGCAGCCAAGTGTGTTGCTGCTAATATGCAATTATGCGCACCTTACTGCTCGTTACATTATACCTCTCCCTGACTAATGTGGGGTCCATGAGGAGAATAGAAATCAGAGCGAGCTGCATAAAAAAGAGCTATCAATAAGATTTTCGCACCCACTGTGTTACTTACCTGTCTGGATGGAAAACAAGAAAAAGTTGGGCTTTTTTTTTTCTTTCTTTTTTTTTTCTTTACAAATTCCTCAATGTAACCAGGAGACTGTATTAAAAGTTTAACAGCATTGCAGAGACTGTTTTGCTCTTCCTGGTGTTTTTGTTGTAAAGCAGAGGTAATTGACATCACCATGGGGATGCTCTGTTGCTAGGCCAGACAAGCTCAGTCTGATGTGGTCCTTATCTATTGATTTTCCTGACATTTCCCCACACCTCACAGACTAGGCCAACATGTGAGAAAATATCTGATGCTCTCAGTTCATACAGCCTGTTTGTACAAACTCCGGGCGAACTCTTGCTGCCCCTGACTGCATCGCAATTGGTAGGTTGATGTCACCATGGTGACTTGGGGCAAATTCCTGCCAGTGATTGGCTGAAATCTGCTCAGTTGTTGAGTTAATCGTTGTACGGGACTAATAGTAGTTCAAAAGGAGCATTTAGATTTAAATACCTTGAATTTAAAGACATTCACTGGCATATTTTTCCAATTTTCCCATCCTAGGCTTAGTTAAGGACTTTGGCGACCTGAATAAAGGTAGGCTCTCCCTGTCCTTCTGTTATGTTTTATTGATATACAGGAGAGATGTCTCCTTTAGAGTGTTAATGCCAACCCTTGTTCTGAAGTGAAGCCCATAAATACTGGATGATCAGAATTAACCTCTGCATTACTCCACCTCCCCATGGTCTCTAAGATGTCACCAAGGCCGGAGGTGCATGCACACCCCTGGTCTGCTGGGGTTGCTTAGCAGTCTGACTGGAGGGGGGCTTATGGGAGAAGTGCAAACAGACAGTCC